CCAGGCCAGACTCTTCCTGGGGAAGGGAGCCTCGTGGGACCCTTGCCCACCCTCCCTTCCTTCCACAGGCCCTGCTTACTCTTTCCAGGTGCCTGGCACCGACATGCCAGGCAGTTGTGCCAAGGGCAGCCCCGACAGACACAGCTCGGCCGGCCCAGCCATGGCCAACGCTCCTCGCCCACGGCTGAGCTTGGCCGCAGGGGGGCGGCCAAGGCCTCCACAGGCAGTGGCGGCAGCAGCAGCAACAACTGCAGTGCCTCAGCGATCCCCACCAAGAGAACTGCGCCCAGCTGCAGGACGCGTCAGGCCTGCCATTGTAGTCCTCCACGACTGTCCCACCACGCAGCTTCTGCCCCGCCCCCACCGGAAGCGCACATGCTGATTTCCGCGTGGCCTGCATGGAGGCCTCTCTGCGGCTGGTGGCCACCCTACCAAGGAAGACCCAGGGTGGTGATGCTGGCACTTTGGCTGCTGTGGCTGGTGCTCGGTAGCGCGGGCTATGCGGATGTAGTGCCTGGGCACGGGGGCGAGAGCGGGCGGGGTGCCAGCATGGTGCAGGAGCAGGTGCTCAAGGTCTACAGTCAGTGCCGCAGGTGGTGGAAGGGGTGGGGGCGCAGTAGTTTGCAGGGATGTGGCTGCTTTGGTAGGGTTGGGGGGGCGGGGGGTGTGTGTGTGTGCGAGAGAGAGAGGGGGGGGGAATGGAGAGAACATTGCTACCAGCCCTGGATAACTCTCTGAGGTTGGATCAGATCTCTCTCTCTCTTTCTTCTCACTCTCTCTCTCTCACACACATACACACACCGTTCTTTCTTTGGGATCGCAGCACAGACGCCCCTTTCCGGATTACAAGGCTGAAGGCTTCAGATGGAGCATTTTGGAGATGTGTGTCTGTGCTGCGATCCCAAGTAAAGAATGATTGGCAGGAAAAGGAGGAGGAGGCCGGCAGCTGGAGGTCTGGGCTGAGTTGCACAGCCCTTGCTGGCTCAGCTGATCAGTGGACAGCAATTAAGGGGCTGAACCTTCATGAGGTGACTGGGGAAGGGAAGAGCTGCCTCCTTTGCTGGCCATGTCCACCCTTCACTAGGGCATATTTTCGGGGGGAGGGCGTATATTCACGCCCACCCCAAAAATCAGGCTTGGCCTTATTTTCAGGACATGTCATATTTTCGGAGAAACACGATATTAATACCCTAGTTAAGGTCTTAGTTTAGTTTACATTACCCATTTAAACTGGTAAAACAAAAAATCCCAATATTGTTGCATGCTGATGATGCAGTGCTACTGTCACAAACTCTACTTATCCTTTAGTGTCTAGTTAAATATTGTAGCAAGGAACATCTTCAAATTAACTACCAAAAGACTAAAATAATGATATTTATTACCAGACCCAAGCTACATCACCAGGTTATCAAGAGAAAAAAACAGTACAGATTAAATGTTTAAAATGCTTAAATTCCTTGATAAGCCAAGGAATATAGCAACTATTTTGGAATTATGTGTCCCAAATGCAGCAATAACAACTGGAGGTCGTAATGCAGACAGTTGAAATCAGAGTTTTGATAGACATTGACTACTAGCTAAAAAGAAAATTCCTTCCACTTGGCTTTATTTTCTTAATATATTATTTCTTAATATATTCCTTAATATATTCCTATGTGAAGCAGACTGTAACTTTTAAACTATGCTTCCTTGGACTTTCACGCATAATTTTTACTGTCCCTAGGCCAGTAATGGCTAACCTTTTTGCCATTGCGTGCCAAAAGTGGGGGGAGCATGGTGGGGTAACATGCACGCATGCCCACATCCATAATTCTATGTGCCCTGCCCCCCCCCCCCGGTGCTTTTGGCATGCGATGGCACGGTGGGCCCGGTAGGCCCGTTTTTTTGCTCTCCCCAGGCTCCAGTGCCTTTCTAGGAGCCTGGGGAGGGCTTTCCCCACCCTCCCAGAGGACCTCTGGAGGCCGGAAACAGTGTGTTTCCTGACTTCTGGTGGGCCCAGAAGGCCCGAAAATCAGCTGGCTGGCGCATGCATGCATGCCGGAGCTGAGCTCGTGTGCCCACCAATATGGCTCCACGTGCCACCTGTGGCATCCGTGCCATAGGTTCGCCATCACGGCCCTAGGCTATGGACAGGCAATAATGACTTCAAGAAAATGTATCAAGGACATAGATCTTTAAACAGAAATTAATTTCCAAACTTGCAGAAATTGAGTGTTTCACTTACCACAGAGGAAAACCTGGCAGCTGCTGTGTTTTCCCCAAAATAAGACAGGGTCTTATTTTCTTTTGACCCCCGAAATATGGCCTTGGCCTTATTATTGGGGGGGGTTATTTTTGAGGTGCAGGAGGCTCCTAAACCTTGGCCCGCGGCAGGGGGACTGGTGCTGGAGCACACCACTGCCACTTGAGAGAAGAAGAGAGAGAGGAAACGCTGTGAGAGAATCCATTTCTCACGTTCTTCTCCTCCCAGGCGGCAGCAGCACATTCAGCTCCCTGAATCTGGCTTGCTGATCTCGGCCAGCAAGGGGGAGTGGCAGGGGGAGAGTGGTGGGGTGGCGGAGAAGCGAGACGCATGAAGTGAGATGGAACTCCCCTTGCTGTCTCTTCTCCCCCACCCCTCGCCGGCATGGCAGGAACTAGAAGTCAGGTAAGACAATGTCTCACTTCTCCACCGTGTCTCACCTGACTTCCAGTTCCTGCCATGCCCGGTGAGGGGGGGGGGAGAAGAGATGGCAAGGGGAGCCCCGTCTCGCTCCATGAGTCTTGCTTCTCCACTGCCTCCCCCCTTCCCATCTGCCACTACCCCTCGCCGGCTGAGCCCGGCAAGCCAGATTTGGGGAACTGAATGCGCTGCTGCCACTCAGAAGGAGAAGAAGGTGAGGAGGCGAGGCTGGAGAGGGGGGGAAAGGGAGGGGGAACATGCCCCAAGCGCCCCACATGCACCTGCCATCCACGTGTAATGGCCTTGCAGAGGCTGCTCCCGCAAACCCTAGCTCGTGTGCCCCTTCTCTTAGTGATGCAGAAGTGAGATGCATGTCTTACCTAACTTCCAGCTCCTGCCATGCCTAGTGAGGAGGGGGAGAAGAGATGGCAAGGGGAGCCCCATCTTGCTCCATGCATCTCGCTTCTCTGTGCCCCACCCCTCTCCACCTGCCACTCTCCCTTGTCAGCCAAGATCGGTAAACCAGATTCGGGGAGCTGAATGCGCTGCCGCCGCCCGGGACAAGAAGAACATGAGAAATGGGCTCTCTCGCAGCACCTCCTCTCTCTCTTTTCCCAAGTGGCAGCAGTGCATCCGGTTCACCGAATCTGGCTTGTTGATCTGAGGTGGCAGCGGCAGCAGCCCTGACCCAATCCTCGCTGGCAATGCTGCAGGCAAGAACCAGCCATGCCGATCCTGCTTCATGGCTGCGCAGACAGCCCCCACCGGTCACTGCTCGGAGCTCCAGTGCCAGTCCCCCTCCCCCCAGTTCCAGGTCAACAGGGCTAGGGCTGGCAAGAGGTATTTTTGCGGCCGCTCTTTTTGCGGACACCACTAAGAGAAGGGGTGCAGGAGCTAGGTTTGCGGGAGCGGCCTCTATGAGGCCGTTCCGTGTGGATGGCAAGTGCGTGTGGGGTGTGTGGGGCATGTTCCCCCTCCCTTGCCCCCCTCTGGCCTCGTCTCCTCACATTGTGTTGTTTACGCAGCAGCTGCACATGCATCTAAGTATTTGGGGGGGCTTTGGGGGGGTATTTTAGCGCATGCACTCAAAAGCCCAATTGGGCAGGTCATAGTTTCGGGAAAACACAGTATCTCTTTTCATTTATGTTCCCTAAATATAGAAACACATTTGCTAATGCAAGATTTCACTTGCAACTTTCAACAGTCTTAGAGTGTAGATTTAGTAACATACCACTCAAGGAGTCATCATACTTTTGCAAATCAGGAACTTAAAAAAATGTTATTCATGTACCTTTATATTACAATTTTTAGACAATCATTTCAAGCCTATTGCTCCTATTCTGCTAAAATTTCCAAGTCATAGGGACTAGTTTCACATTTCTTAATATTTATCCAATAAAGGTATTATCTGCATTACATATAATGCAGCATGTTTTTTCCAGTAGCTGGTAATATTAGGCACAAGTTAATATCTAGAGAAGCCCTGGGCACTGTCTTGTGAATAACAATAGAGCACAGTATGATTCTTTTTGGGAAAATACTAAATAGTAAATAAGAAATAGCCTGGAAACTTATTATCTTAAGTATTATTTACTTTCTTTATTTTACTCTTTGTACATATTTTATTCTGCTGGTGTTTGGCCATAATAAAGATGTACTTATTGCTAATACTAGTAATTTAATGCATTGAGAATGTTAATAATAAACATATAAAGTATACTTCCCCAACAATCAGTAAGTACTAACATGCAATTTTCAGCCAGGAAAAGCAAACACAATCCTCAGTACTGTCTATGCACCAAATACTTTAATTATAAATTGAAAAAACAAATTTTTTCTTCAGAGCATGTACCATCCATTTGCTTAATGTCATAGTATCTGTTATGCACAATTCAACATTCATTTCTACATCCATTAAGACAAGAACAGTCTGTATTCTTGAATTGCCAAGAGTATACTTAGCAGAGAAACAGCACCACTGTATGGCTCTTCATTTTATGGTATTAGGAAATAACCAAACACATTTATGGCCACGCATCTGTAAAAATGAAGCACTAACAAAATCATTCAAACGCCTACCACACGTTCTTTTCCATACTGAAGAAAAACTGTTCTGGTCACATCATATTCATCACAAATATATCTACGTTCAGAATAAAGTTATATAATCTTCCATCATTAAATCACTACTGCTGTTGTAACATTGCAAGTTACTTATATCTGCCTATAGCAAAACAACACAACTAATGAAAATCAGCAATGGTAATCATCGTACAACTGTCACTCATCAATAAAGAAGAAAACAAAGACATGCTGACATTTGCATAAAGCTACTTACACAAGTGAAACCATGTCTCCACGTTGTACTTCATAATTCCGAATACTCCAATGATTTAAAAGCACTATATCAGATACTTGCTGTTCTACTGGATTCAGTGAAGGCTGGGAGGATTAAAAAGGAACAGGTATTACCATTCACAAACAGAACAACCCAATCAACTTGCATAATAGCTTTCTTCTACCTGTGTCCCCTGAGAAGCCTAGAATTCTTATCAATAAGAATTGGGGGGAAAAGTGGTCAAGAGATTTGCAAAGAATCAAGCTTAGGAAAGCTCTACACCGAATCGTTAAAAGCACTGAACTGTATCACATGCTATCTACTTGTAACCCATGCCACGTTGCCTAAGCTATGTATGTAAACAGAGGCTGAAAATATGAGGAAAATAATACCTGCATATTAGAATATTGTAGAATATTTTACAATAGTTGATCCAACCTTTTTACAAAAGGTTGCTCATCTGATCTTTAAAGTTAATATACTGAAAAGACAGTTTTGAAGTAGCTTAGGGAGAAGTACCAAGGAAATACTAGAATTACAAATGCACTTCATCTATAATAAATCTAATGTGAACACTCTTTTTTAAGTCATGGGGGCATTGCTCATATTTATGAAGTCAAAGCTATAGAATTATAGAAGCGGAAATACAATGAAATTTATACTTATTATATGAAATGACATCTACTATATAAAAAAAACTATACATTTCCATTTGACAATGTTCATGTCGATAAGAAATGATGGCTGCACTTACAAAAAGTTATGATTCCATGGCAAAAGTCGGAAGCAACAATTTATTACATAAAAAACTCATTGCTATAAAAACAAGTCAAATGTTGGTTGAGATTGGAAGTAAAAATAATTTCTCAAAATTTTATTAAGAAATATTAGAATTACTTCATTTTTTTCTAGACATATCAAAACCAAGCCATGATAAACAAATAAGGGGCCTGGTGGCTCAGCAGACTAAAAGCATTGTGATTAACACCAGCTGTCTGCAATTACTGTAAATTCAAATCTCACCAGGCTCAAGGTTGACTCAGCCTTCCATCCTTTCTAAGGTAGGTAAAATGAGGGCCCAGTTTGTGGGGGCAATAAGCTGACTTTGTATAAATATACAAAAGTATGAAGGCTATTGCTTAACGCATTGTAAGCTGCCCTGAGTCTCCGGAGAAGGGCGGCATATAAATTAAAGTAAAAATAAAATAAAATAAAATAAAATGTCAAAGTATCAAAAATTATTGATTTTTGGTACCCTCTCCCTCCAAAAATTGTATTTTTATTTTGCAAGTTATTTCCATATTGCTTTTTGTCAACAAAACCGTTTCTGAAACATAAATCACTGTGGTGATGCAGTGGATATAATGCAGTACTGCAGGCTACTTCTGCTGATCACCGGCTGCCAGCAGTTTGGCAGATCAAATCTCACCAGGCTCAAGGTTGACTCAGCCTTCCAACTTTCCGACTTGGGTAAAATGAGGACCCAGATTATTGGAGACAATATGCTGACTCTGTAAACCGCTTAGAGAGGCTGTAAAGCACTGTGAAGCAGTATATACCATATTTTTCAGAGTATAAGATGCACTTTTTCCCCCCTAAAAGAGGGTGGAAATGTTGGTGCATCTTATACACTGAATACAGCCATTTTTGGCTTCCCAAAGCCCTGCCCTGCTTGTCCCATTATTGCAAAAAAAAATGGGTTCATTTTTCACAAAAACAGGATGCACAGAGGGTTTGGGAGGCCTGCAGAGTACTCCTGGAGGCTGGAGAGGGCAAAAACGCCCCCATTTTTGCAAAACGGGGGGCATTTTTCCCCCCCCCCCCAGCCCCCAGGAGAACTCTGCAGGCCTCCCAAACCCTCTGCGCATCCCATTTTTTGCAAAAACGGGCCCATTTTTCATAAAAACGGGGGTGTTTTTACCCTCCTCCAGACCCCAGCAGCACTCTGCAAACCTCCCAAACCGTCTGTATACCCCATTTTTTGCAAAAAACTTTTTTTTCTAACTTACCTCTTCAAAATCTTGGTGTGTCTTATACACCGTGCATCTTATAGTCCAAAAAATATGGTAAGTCTAAGTGCTTTTGCTACAATATCTTTTTTTCCAGTGTATAAAGAAAACTCCACACACCCAAATGATGGTTTGAATCCTTTACCGGCACAAACTAACATCCATAAATCAATACAGGATGATTTTGTTGGAGTTAATGTTTTGTGCTCCCTACCACCTTATAAAGCTTTATCAACCAGGTGACCCTTAACCCGGCTCCTCCCCACTTATCAATCATTGTTCCCTTAGATACTGCAATTAGGCATTACTCCCACACGCTCCCAGCTCGATGGTTACTCCTCCAGATTAGCCATCATTATAGCCATTTCCAAACCTCTCCATGACCCTCAGTCTCTCAGCCTCCCCCAACAGCTGCTCAGGAAGCCGCTCCCAGCTGTACTTGCTGACCAGTCCATTCAGAAAGCTTGCTGCCAGGCCGGGAAATGACAAAGATGCAGGCAAGGAGGAATCTTCACATTGCTTGGTGGCCAGGAGGTAAGCTGAGGAACCAGGGTGCCATGGGAGTTGCCACTTTGCCAGAACCTTGGCACCCACCGGAATGGCAGCCTCGACACGTGGCCACGCGTTGGGGCTGACATGCGAGCCCCCTACCAGGAAGTTGGGACCTGGAACACAAACAGCAGAGTGAGCTCAAGCCGGGCTATCCTCTCCCCCGGTTTCTCTGGATTTTGTCGATGGAATGCTATGGTTAGTCTGGGGGCGTTCATGTCTTCACTGGGTACCCAGGAGGCCTCTGAGAGTGGATACCCTTTCCATACTACCATATATTGGAGTCTTCCTTTGTGCCATCTCGTATCTAGGATATCTTCCACCTCAAATTGCGGTTCCCCCCCCCCCACAAAAGGCTGTGGCGGTGGTACATCAGGTCCCCTTAATGCAGAGATGCGGACTGGCTTGAGTAGGCTGCTGTGGAACACTGGATGGGTCTTCCCCAGCAGCCGGGGCAGACGAAGCTGTACTGTCACTGGATTTATCACCCAGAGACGGGCAAGGGCCCTATGTATTTAGGTCCGAGTTTCTTACCAGGGAGGCTTACTTGGTGCACAGGTACATCATTTGACCCACTTTGAACATAGGCTGTGGCCTTCATTTTTTGTCCGCCTGCCGTTTGTACCTTGCCACTGCATGATTTAATGCCTCTTTAACCACTTGCCATATGCCCTTCGTTTGGTCTGTCCATTCCTTCACTCCGCCATCCACTGGGGCAATTTTAGGGTATTTTGGTATTGGGACAAATTCTCGTCCCGTTGCAACCTGGAATGGGGTATATCTTGTACTGCTATGGATAGCTTTATTGTACGCTACCTCAGCAAATGGGAGTAAATCTGCCCAATCGGTCTGTCGATGTTTGACATAACATCATAGATACTGTGCTACTATGGCGTTAGTCTTCTCTGCAGCTCCTGGTAGTGGTCCCCTGGTAATGCAAACTGGATGGCCTGAGGGATGGGGCCACCGGGAGTTTGGAAGGTTACAGTCTACAAATGGTGGGTGTTTATTGTTTGGATTTGGTCAACAGGTATGATAGCTTGCACCACCTCCTCATGGGCACTTTCATATTGTGGCTTCCTGAATAGGACATCAGCCAGGAAGTTTTTCCCCCTAGGTATATATTTCAGGGTGAAATGAAAACACCTGAAATACAAGGCCCACCTCACCTGTTTTGGCCACAGTCATCGGGGTTGTTGCAGGACCTCCAAATTCTTCTGGTCTGTCCACACTTCAAATGGCACAACCCCGCCCTCCAAGAGATACCGCCAAGTCATCAATGCCCATCAAACAACAAAGGCCTTCTTCTCCCAGATCAGCCAGTTATGTTCTGTCTCCGTTAATTTCCGGGATGTATATGTGCATGGCTGCAGCACTCCATCTCGTTCTTTTGTAACAGGACTGCAGCCACGGCGACGTCACTAGCATCAGCCTGCACCACAAAAGGCTTTGCCAGATCTGGGTGTTGGAGGACTAGTTCATTCATGAAAAGCGCCTTTAGGTGTTCAAATGCTTGTTGACATTCAACGGTCCAGTGTATCAGGTGACCTGCCCGAGGCTTCCCTCTGAGATGTTTTGCTTTGAGGAGATTGGTTAATGGTAGAGCTATCTGGGCAAATGACGGGATAAGCTGGCGGTAGAAATTGGCAAACCCCAGGAAACTTTGTAATTGTTTTCAGGTCCTGGGAACCTGCCAGTCTATCACTGCTTTGACCTTAGCCGGGTCCCTCTCCACCCACACTGGTGATATGCAAAACCCTAGGTAGTCCAATCGGGTCCACTGAAACTCACATTTCGATAGTTTCACATGCAATCATGTGTGTAACAGTTTCTCCAGGACTTTATTGACTAGGGCAGTGATGGCTAGCCTTTTTGCCATCACGTGCCAAAAGCGGGGGGGAGGGCGGGGGGGTCACGTGCACATGTACCCACACCCATAATTCAATGGCCCCCGCGCATGTGTGCACGACCCCCGCTTTTGGCATGTGATAGCATGGTGGGCCCAGTAGGCCCATTTTTCACCTTCTCCAGGCTCCAGAGGCTTTCTTGCTGTACTTTCTTTGGGGCCCGGACATCCCGTTTATTCACCCATTCAGCTTGAGACAAAGGGAAATGTTTCCAGGCCACCAGATATTGCACTTTACCATGGTGTTTCCTAGAGTCTAAAATTTCCTTAACTTCAAAATGTTGCTCCCCCTCTATGAGTATGGGAACTGGAGGGGAGCTTTGGTTCGGCCTTAGCGGAGACGAGTGTTCAGGTTTCAACAAGCTAACATGAAATACAGGGTGTATTCGTCTCAACGTTTTTGGCAACTCTAATTCAACTGTTACTGGATTAATCAATCTAATCACACGAAATGGACCCACATACTTGGGACCAAGCTTTTTTGACTTTTGGGAAGTCTGTAAGTACTTAGTGGAGAAGTAGACCTTATCATCCACTTTATACACGTGTGCTGGGGACCTTTTCTTATCAGCCTGGGCGTTATGGGCTCAGTGTGCCTCATCTAATGCTTTTCGAGTTACTGCCCAAGTGCTCCTTAATT